GTATAATTTTTATTATATAAATCTGACCAACATCACCGTCAGTTGTGACTGCGATCTTCGGCTTTTCAAGATGGGAAGTGTATGAGTGTGTGCTGTGGAGGGCTGCGCTATTCCACGCATGATGGACGGTCTGTGTCACCTTCGTGAGGAGTGTGTGTAAATTCAAGGTCTGCTACTCCAGGTACCTGCCAGAGAAACCTGGTCATGAAGTGGAAAAGACAGACTAAGGCTGTGCCCCTCGATCATCACTGAGATGATCATGCAGAGATATCCCCGTAACCATGACTGAAAGAGCAGTCACCATTTATGGAAGACCCCGCTAATATAACTATCATTTCAACATTCCAGCAAAACAAATGATTATTACCCACTTTACAGAAGAGAAACAGGTTCAGGGGTTGACTAACTTGCCTGTGGTTGTAAGTAACCAAGGTTTGATCCTAAACTGGTCTGACTTCAAAATGTACACAAACATTCTTTTTCCTATGTCATATTGGCTTTCTGCAGTAACATGAGCTTTTAGAACATACTCATGTTTAAGGAGAGTCTTGCAGACTTCATCCAATGGAATTTAGTTACTGCGAGATATCATTATGATAGAGATATTGTTATGATAGTTAATAGGCTAAAAGTTCCCCTTTAGTTACTGTGTGACCTTATGCAAGCTATTCTTTGTCTCTCATTTCCTCTTTTGTAAACAAAGAAGGGATAATAAAAGTATCTACCTCCCAGCCATGGTGAAGATAAAATGAAATAAGACTTGTAAAAGTACCTGAAACAGTATGTGGCACCAGCTACTGCTCAACAAATGTTAGCTACCACCAGCAGCATCATTATATTTCCTTTTATAATATCTCTTCTTAACAATCTATAAACTGGGTTCTGTTTATTTTTATAGGAAAATAAAAGGGTGTTCCAGAGGAGGCCCCTTCAGAATCTTACACCGAAGCCACCAGACTAGGTTTCTGTAATTCTCTCTCTTCCACGACATCCTCTGGCTGGCACCTTGAAAGGCCATCCCCATATGCAAGACTATGTTGAGCTTCTTGCTGACTCTGAGTGCGGGTGTCTGCGTGGGGAGCTGGGTACGAGGGGGCAGCACTGCGTAGGAGTGAGTCAGGGTATATTAGATAACATAAAAAGCTTTCAGAGCACATAGTTGCAATTCTAGTGGGGAGCAGCAACAGACACTCTGACAACCCCCAAATTCCACGAATGCATAGCAACATAGCAGTATCGCCAGCACATTCCGAAGCTTCCCCTGGGTTACGCCACCATTTAGACTGCTTCCTGAGTGAATATGGAATCACAGGGCAGGCAGTTTTTGAGTTCAATTAGGCATATCTTTGTATTGAAAGGTCAGTAATACTGAAGTCCAACTTTATAAAAGGGAATATGCTGGGCTTTCAAAAAGATAATTCAATGAAATAATCATAACTGCAGAGTAGGTATCATATCTATATTTTCATGAATGTAGCAGCGTGTGCGATAAACCTGCGTTACACAGCTACTAAATGTCTGAGTTGAAATTTAAATACAGATTTTTCAAGATGGGGTTGAGTCCTCTTTCCACTGACCTGTCAAATATATGAGACTTAAGCATTCATGCTGGAAATAAGGTGATACTGTGGAAAACTGGATAACGGCCAGACAGATGATGGAAGACAGATTTTAAGGTCTATGTAGCAGCTCATTCTGTTATAGGTACAAGATTACAAAGGACAGATCTGAAGTATTCTTGTAATCATTATCTAAATAGCACTAAAACTTCACTTGCAAAAAGATGGAAAACTATGCTAAAATGGTAAGTATGATTACGCTGACAATTTCAACAAATTTTTGGTTCCCAAGAGCACAGTTTGGCAGGTGGGGACACAGGTAATTCAGCAGTGAGAGTGAGGGTTAGACACAGAATAGTGGCTAAAGAGATGAACAGAAAGAACAGATTCAAAAGATTATTTCAGGCTCGGAAAAATAACACGTAACTGATCAGGCTCAGGACCTTAGGGCGAGATGGGAATCGAGGATGCTTCCTAGGTTTCTAGCTGCGGATGCACGCCATTGACCTAAATAGGAAACACAAGAATGAGGAGGTGACACCACCTGCTACCCCGATTTCTTCTAGAGACATCACAAATGAGTTGATAAAGTCTCCAGAGGAAAAGTAGTGTAAACCCAAAGCAGCTTTACCGTGATCACATCTACTGGGCGTGCATTTGCAGGGGTGAAGCTGCCTGGTTAACGGAGGCACAGGTTAATGCAGTCAGAAAAAAATCATCCCAGTCACAGAAATGTCCTAATAGTATGGTCAGTTTAAGAAACTATAGATGTGTTATCTTACTGCTTTCGCCTCCTAATTAAAAACAGCAAAGGAAAAAAATACCCATAATACATCCCAAATGTGAGAAATGTTGAGTCTATTTACTCTCTGTTCTTAATTTTCAGGACAATATGAAATCCTAGTTACTCTTCCAATGCCTGGAGAGTGGTTGTGTAAGACCTGGGGTGTTCCCTGGTGGGCGGAGCGGGGGGCGGCGGGGGGGTGGGGCGCGGAGCCGGGGAGGGCTGGCGACCCGGGCCCCAGCAATGGCCCTGCATCTGCTTGCAACACCTCCCAGCGCCCCTTTCCAGAGTAGATCTGTAGAATTGCAAGGATTTCTAGAAAAAGACTCCCTAGTTCCTCTGCCCCAGCATATTAAACACACAAATTGACGTTTTAATTAAAGCCAGAGGAAAACTTCTTAAAAGAGGCAGTTTTCAAAAAATTAATGATTTTTATGGGGGAAAGAAGTACTTGATAACCTAAGTGGCCACTTAACAAAAAAACATGAATATACTTTTAAAATCACTATTTCCAGTCAAAATTTGTATCACTCTGAAAGGCTTTGAAAAGAACTGGGTAAAGTCTCGGAATAATTCTTAAGGGGATTTTTGCTGACAAGTTTACCTCGTAAGAATGACATAAAAATCAAGCATTAAGCTCTCCCATTGACTGCTACAAATCAGTGACGACACTGGGCAGTCCTGAGCCAGGGCAGGAGTTTTCATTATGTTACAGATGCTGCAAATTTACTGCTGCTCAACGCCTTTGTTGAAAACAAACTGAAACCTAAATGAAGATTTCTACCAGCTACTCAATTCCATCCATGAGTCATTTAAATGTTGGTCCTGCATTAATGGTTTCCTACGGGTGGTGAGGATATGGGGAAAGGGGTACCCTCATACGTCACTGGTGGAAGGTTCACTGATACCTTTGAAGGGGAAGACCTGACATCTACCCCAATTTTTAACATGTGTAACCTCTGATCCAGCAATTTCTCAGGAAATAAATACCCAGTGGCCAAGGATTTGTATAGAAAGCTGTTCGCCACATCATTACTGAAAAATTAGAGCCACATTATATGTTCATTAGTAGAGGAATAGTTAAAGTATGGTGCACCCATATTTACAGACTGTACTGATATGGCAGTGTCTGTAATAGATCACTGGGAGGAAGATTGTAGAGCTTTGATCTTGCGTAGTATGTTCCCTTTTTATTTTTTAAAACTCAAAGTCCTACAGGTGTGTGTCACAAGAATATGGCAGAAAGAACACACACCAAACCCTGAACACCTGTTACTATGGGAGTAGAACTGTGGTGGAGGAACTTCCGTTTTTTCCCTTACACACTTCTGAATAGTCTGAAATGTTTATAAGGAAAAATTTATAATTTTAAAATTAGTGATTTTTAAATTGGTTTTTAAATGCTTTTGAAAGGCATACCCTATTATCTTTTTTATGAGTTAATCTGTGAGATGAATTCATCAAAGATTCCATCCTTAGATTTTAAACTGGCAGCCTTCTGGAACTTGGTAGAATCTGGAAAACGTTAATAGTCTGTTATTATCAGATTAATAGCTGACTGTGTGGCCAACCCAATACTGAACTGTGTAGGGTGTGGGGATAACTCCAGATTTACACTCAGGAGGCCACCTTTGGTGTAGGTACTGAAATAATTTCAGAACTAGGTAATTCCATTGAGGGAGGTGAGAAGAAACTGAATTTTATCTCTGCGCTGCTCAGATAAAAAGTTGAGACTAAATGTCAATTTAACCATGAAAACTGTAACAAAGAAACCAAGAAAACCTCAACAAGGACCGAGAACCACATGTAAGCCCCAAACTGTGTCCATCAGAAAAAGATACTTGCTCTGCTCAATTACCTATCAGGGCCAACACCGAACCCGAGGGGCGCGGTGGAGGGGGGAGGCGAGCTTAAAGGCAAAAGGCCCGGCCAGGAATCCTAAAGACAATGCCCTGAAGTTTGGGGAGGATTTCCTCTCGACAGAGGATCAGAGGGCAACTTGAAAGCCAAGTGGAGACAAAGTAGCTGTGATTTTCACAACCACTCACGAATTTTATGTGAAGTCACGAGGGCAGATTACTAACATTTTCTTCTTTCTCTAGAGACCCAGCCTGGGAAGGCGGCCCAGGCTCCAGATTCGGTCCCGAAGACCACCCGGGGATGTCGACGAAGGCCCGGGGAGGCTGTGAGAGGCCAGACTCTGCCGAGGCCGCTCCAGCCAGCACCCGAGCACATCTGTAGGCTGAACGGCAGTGACCGGTCTGCAAGTGGATATCCGCCCGAACCCAAATTAAAGCATCTCCCGAGGCCAAAGCGAGGCGGGGGCAGGGGACCCGCGAAGAACAAGAGCGGCCCGGCCGGACTCACACCCACCCGGCACCGGACGCAAAGCTGGACGCTCGGAACCGAGGACACACGCCCAGGGCGCGCCCCCGGCTGGCAAGAGGGCCAATCCAGCCCATCTCCTTTCCTCCCTAGACAGCCCCCTCCAAGTGGCTGCCTCCCGGCCCCCTCGTCCCGCGGGGCCCGCCCGGGGAGCCCTAGTGCCCAGGTGGCCTCGCCGTGGGCGGGCTCCCAGGGTCCGCCCCGTGCCAGCCGCATCCCTGATGCGAGAGAGAGGCGACACGCCACCTGTACCTCGGGGGCACCTTACTCACCCTCGTCGCTGACAACTGCGGCTCCGCTGGGATTGCAGTCACCATTCGCCTGCCCTCGGGTAGCAGCCCCCCGGGTCACGGGAGCAGCCATTACGCCGCTGAGGAGAGGAGGGCGGGCCGCGGGGCGGGGCGGGCGCGGACGGGAACCAATGCAAACGCGCCTGCCGCCGACGCGTCGTTTTCTCCACGCCCACGTCGCGCCGTCACGCCCTGAGCCAATAGGAGCTGGCGAGCAGATTCTAATCCCCGCCTCTGACAGCGGGTGCCACGCCCCCTTCCGGGACAGGGCGGCCCAGAACTACAATTCCCAGGGTGCCGCGGGGGCGCTGGGCAGGCCCTGCTGGAGGAGGCGCTGACGGGCGGGGGTGCGCCCGAGAGTGCCCCGGCGTG